GAGAGAGAGAGATACTATTAGATAGATACATTGATGCTAGTGTAGTGTCAAGTTCATAGATCTGGTATGCTTGCACGTAGGGAATTCCTTCTATAAAGTTCAGAGGGTATAAAAACGACAGCTGTGGGACTAGTGAGGTGAGGTAAGGTGAGGTATTGTGAAAAAAGGGGAATCACAGGGAGTGAAACAACAGGAATGGAGAAATCGTATCAGAGATGTAGCTTACAAATGTTTGTGAACACCTCTGTTGAAAATTTTGGAAAATTATTAAATTTAAGACAAAGATACTGTACCTTGCCAGTTTTCTTAACCTTATGATATGCATATGCACATACCGTATGGTTATAGCATTTTATGTTGCCTGCTATGTACTATATATATTTTTTCAATCAATAAAATCAAGGAGAAAAGGGTGTACAGAATGTCATCTGGTTTTGTATTCATCGGTAGTAGTAGCAATTGTTTTGAAACGTGTTTCTTGATAAGTCTCCTTCATACAACTTTTTTGTATGAAATGCCTTCACCTTATTTTACAAAAAAGCTCAAGCCTGTATAGCAACAACGTCTTTAAAGGTTGAAATATAGTCATCAAGAAATGCAAACTTCAAAGAGTTGCACACGAAGAGTAAGCAAACGTTAGAATCAGACATAATAACGTTTGAAAGATTTAAAAGAAAAATCTATGAGCTTTAATCTTGAAAATTGGTTTTTCGCCCATGTTGATATTATTATATGTATGAAATCCTCTTGGAACCCCAAAACTGATGCGAGCGTGCCATCAAAAAAGTTTGCAAAAAAATGTTGATTTCATTATTATGAATAATCTACTGTTCAAATTCTTTTCAAGACATTTTCACCTTTTTCGTTTGATTTTGGCATTCTACGACATTGGTATTGTTTTCCAATGTTTTTGTTTGCAACTTACGAAATATATTTTGCTCAATTTGTACCTTTTTTTTATTGAAAACTTTTTTTTGGAAACGACCGAAAATTCATGCGCGCGGATGTCATAATCAAATCAACAAGGCCTTATCTAGTAAGAAATTTATTTGTGAATCAAAGCAAGAAGCAATCCAGATATTCATCTTTCTAGCAAGTTCTATAAATCACGGCTTGTAAATAGTGGTAAGATTTCAAGTTTTTTGTATCGCCCTAGTGGCTGTACCTGGTAAGATAATATTATAAAAAGGGTGTTGGGTGGATACCAAATCAAAAAAGCTAGTTTTGAGCCTGATCGAAATTTCAATATTTAATGATGATTGTATTATATTATATCATATTTTATGATGATTATACTTGATGTTTTCAAATATCTGCAATTGCCAAATTTTATCTTTTTTGCCCAATTTTACTATACCAGGACATTTGGCGAAAAGAAAATGCGATACGTTTTATTCTGGCCACTCGCTTTGTCTATCCAAGACATGTATAATTATGTTCAGAGCTACTCGAGTTCAGAGAATGTTCAGAGAACATTTCGCAATCGACATGTTTATTAATCGATCAAACAAACATCAAAGACAGAACAGAGCAGACAATCAACTATAACACGTGAAATGACGTGGAAGATTTCAGGTTGTTTAAAACATATTATACATTTGTACCACTCTTACCAGCGACAACTGCACAGAAGCAACTTTCCACCAACACAAGATATTCTACCTCGCTTGTACGAGATAAAATTCAGAGGTAAATTTTTCTCTAGTATGTTTAGTTTACATTGTTGTGAAAATGTTTTTAAAAATATACAGTCCAAAAAAGAATATATAGGATTCTTTATTGACTCAAAAAAAGTAAAGGGATTTTTGTATGGTCTTCTACACTACCAAAAATGCCAATCTTGTTTTTCTTCAGAGAAGAAAACTTTTCTTCCACTGAGAAAATTATTCTTCACCCAAGAAAAAAATCTTGTCCATGAGACAAGAATTTCAAGAAACTGCATTTTAGCATATTTTTCTTGTGGTAAGATTTTTTTTTCTTATATATCTTGAACTAAACACCCTTAGAATATTATTCTTGCAGTAAGAATTTCTAAGTTTTCTAGAAAACCATTCTGTACACAAGAAAAGATTTCTTGAACTAAGATCTAACTCTTCTTGTAGCAAGAAAAATATTCTACCCACAAGAAAAGATTTCTTGAACTAAGAGCTAAGTGTTCTTGTAGCAAGAAAACCATTCTGCCCACAAGAAGAGATTTCTGGAACTAAGATCTAACTCTTCTTATGGCAAGAAAACCATTCTGTACACAAGAAAAGATTTCTTGAACTAAGAGCTAACTGTTCTTGTAGCAAGAAAACCATTCTCCCCACAAGAAAAGACTTCTTGAACTAACATCTAACTGTTCTTGTGGCAAGAAAACCATTCTGTACACAAGAAAAGATTTCTTGAACTATGAGCTAACTGTGCTTGTAGCAAGAAAACCATTCTGCCCACAAGAAAAGAAATACAATGTATATAGTGCTACCTAAATATAAAACAGACAATAATGTATAGCAACTAAATGTTATTTTGAAAAGCATTTGGACAGTATAGAGATGTTTATTATCACATTGATTTTTGTACAATGTATCTAATTAAAAATATAAAATCAGTCCATCAACATTCTTGGAATGGAAACAGTTTAACAGTAACTTTCAAAATATTATACGATGTATAACTAACAAGCCATTATGATTTCAGAATACAGATCGTATCACATTCTGATCAGAAGCATATTCAGCAAAAACTGCAGTGTTCGCAAATAGAATTGACAAAGTCACACCCTTTGGACACCTAGAAAAACAACAGGAAAGACCTGTGTTAGTTTGCATGCGAGCACTGAAGGCAACAAGTCAAAAGAGGATGCTAAAATACTATTTTTATTACTTGGAGTAAACAATTTAAAATTATATCATAAAGCACTGTAATAAACTTCACTATACAATACACCAGAGATATATGATTTGACTTTGAAATCAACCCCAATGGCGTTGTAACAATATTTTGGCTATGAAGTATAAAAACAAATGTCAACAGATCTTATAGGTGGGGAGGGGGGCGCGCACTTACCTTCAATCTGTTTGGTTTCATGCTTTTTCTGTTGCAAAGTTGGTTTCTTCAGCAAGCTGACCACGATCACCATTGCTTCACATGTACACAAGGTCCTTTTTGATTTGATTTTGACTTCAAATCTGACATGAGTCAGTAACTGACAAAAATAAGTAACCAGCGCGGCTCCTACATTTGACTTATGTTCAAAACCCCCTAACTGCATTCTGGGATTTGAATCAACCAATCAGGGGTTTAGAAAAGGTCACATGACAAGAAAAAACTAGAAAAAAGTTCTTACATCATCTTGAACATTACCAGGCAAAATAAGAATCATCTTTCTTAAACTTTCTGGTATTTTCTTAAATGTTGCTAAGAAAAACAAGAATGGCGTTTCTTAAACTTTCTAGGGAAGAAAATAAAGAATGTTTAAGAATATAATACTAGCCGTATCTTCAGCCTAATC